TAGTGACAACAGTGATGGTAGCTCTATGAGCCCAAAGACAAGACCCATCTCTGGCCTCTAAGCCTCCCTTCATGGACTGAGAACTATGGCATGGAAGAAACCAATGATGTGAGTTCCATCAGCCTGAGAGCAAGGTAGTCCCTATCATGAGTGACCATGCTTGGCTGAGATGCAGCTCAGGGCTAGTAAGGAGAGGCCAGTGTGGGGGGAAGCTGCTAGAGTTTTTCTGAGTGACCCTATACAGACCACTTGGACATGCATGAGATTTCACTGCTAGATACTTCTGAAAAGCCCTAGTATCATGTGTTTTCTGTGTAGCTGTGGTGGGGAAGGTATAGGACCTTAGTTTGAGTTCCTAGGAGGCCAAGTCTGAGACTTAGGTCCAGGGAGACCCAGTGAGCCCTGGTCCCAGGAATCAGAAGAAAAGGAGCAGAAGATAAGGAAGTCCCTCTAAGGAAGGAAGAAAGGCTGAGGCTGCTTTCTTTGGCCCTGAAGCTTGATCCACTGCCACCTCTAGGACAGGAATGGATTTGCTTACTGGAAGGATGGAAGCATGGACTGTTCACCTACTAGGCCCCTCCCCCAGTGAGATGAGCTGGTCCTGGAGGCATGGATTCTGCACTTCTGGCTGTGGGAACTTGGCCAGAGCAGTTTCCCATGCACCTGGAAGTAGGCATGAGGCTATCAGTGTAGATGAGGGTGAGGTCACCGAGCTCTTGGTACTTCTCACCAAGAAGTCACATTGTCAGAGGTAGGCCTTGGGATACCAAAAGGGCAGCAAGGGTTCTGCCACAAGCTGTCCATTTGCCTGTGTCAAGGGCATGTTGAAACCCTTGGGAAGAGAGCAAATCTTCAACCCCATCGTGTGGCTCCCACTCAGGTCCTCTACAGTGGGCTCTTTATTATATAATATGGTCATGGTCATGGTCATGATAGCGTGGGACCATGGAACATGCAGATGAGATATGACCAGTTTTGAAAAACATGAGCAGATGTAGCCTAGATCACTATAACCCATCTTCCTGGGTAGGAAGCTTGCTGTGGCCTTAGAACATTCCTAAGAGGGGAGTGAATAATGATTTAATCATTGCCTTAGACGCATGATGTCTTTTTGGGTTACTGAAATATTAAGTAAGAAAATCTTGCTGGATTTTCTTCCATAGAAATTGAATTAGCAACATGATTTTTTAAAATGTGTTCATGACAATGTTCATTCAAACCTTGAAAATGAGCCCTGCCAAAACTTCCAAAATGGTTCCTAAAATCCAAGGGTTTTCATACTTGAAGAACACCTCCAGACACACACATATGCACTCCCACGATGCTCAGAATATGTGTTTGTGAAATGCTCCCCAGCTCCAGGAAGCAGTGGTGCAGAGGACAGTGTCTGAGAAATATGATGAATTCCTTGTGTTTCTCTGTGGCCAGCAGAGTACTATAATCCACAGTCCTTATAAAGTTGGCACTTGTTATCAGTCTGTTACAGGTGCTACTTCCCAGCTGAGGGAGCCTGGGACCCTGTTTATTGATGTTTGATTTCAGATAATTCAAGAGGAATGCCTGTCCCTTTCTGTCATCCAGGAGTTTCTATAAGAGTTCTGGGGTCAAGTGTCTCTCTATGTTCTGTGGAAAGGGTAGGGGGCATGACCACCTGCTAAGTGTTAGGATTGGGGCAGTAATTTGGGGAACCCTGCTATTTGGGCACTAAGTTGGGGCTAAGCAAGGTTCTGGGCAGGTGTAGTTATCAGAAGCCAAGGTTCTGGCAGGAAGGGACAGGCAGTGGTGGACAGCAAGAAAAGGTGCATAGTCCAGAGTCCAGTTGGTGAAAGTCCTGGTGCCAGATCCATGGGCAGGACTCCAGGTTTTCTCTCAGCACCTCATCCACCCTATGTTGCACTTGTGGCTGTGGCCAAATAGGGGCCAACAAACATGTGCACCATAGTTTCCAACAGAACAAATATGAGGAAGAGTATTGATTCCAAAAACCTGAATGGGGATTAAAATAAAGAAAAGGTTCAGAAAGAAAGAACAAGTCCTGTCTCAGTTCAGCTCTTTGAGGACAGTAGGGTTAGAGATAAATGAGGATCTAGTCAGCAGTGAAAACGGTCCATGCCTGGGGCCTCTAATCACCCACACCTCCACAAGGGAGGGTTTGAACCTGGTGACCCACTACTTCTATGTCATAGCTGATTGCAGGAGAAATGCCATGATTCAGGGGAACCAAACAGATCAATCCTGAGAATTTGGGATCAGATCCATGGGTCAATTGACTGATGGCACTGACACTGAGGTATCCATGTTTGAACATTTGAGGTCAGGGAGGAAAGATCTTAAGGAGGGGGAAAACTAAAGAATCAGAGGACCAGAGATGCAGAGGTGGGAACTACACAGTCCTGAGTGTCATGGGGGATGGAGAATGTCAAGGACTCGTCCCACCACCTTTGGTCCCTTGGACTATACCTGCACTTCCTGGCCAAAGTTCTTCAGTTCCTCAATATAATCCCTATAACTCTGACTAAATTCACATTTGTGAGATTTATTGAATGAGCATCAATTATTGCCAATCCAGTGATTCTTGGAGAACCCGTGCTTTCATGTTCATGGCAGGATGGAGCCTGTAGAAGGAAGTCTGGGTACAAGGGGCTCTTGGGTGAGTAGCAGCAGACATATAGAGACATTTTGAGTTTGAAACAAGTAAGAGGATAAGAGGAACTTGTGCCTTGTGCTTTCTAAGGGAGTTAGTGAGTTCCAAAGTCAAGGGTCCATCTCTGTCTCAATGTAAGGGAAATTTTCCGTGTAATTTACTGCCACAGTATGGTGGCATTGGGCAAAGGAAGTAGCTTGCTTCTACAGAAGGTAGACCACTTCAAGGTGTTTCATAGCATGTGGTATAGAGTAATGGTGTGCACTGCATAAACAAAAACTTTCTTCCCCTCAGGGAGGACTCTATCCCAGGGCAGGAACATCCCCAAGCCATGACCAGGAAGACTACCATGACCATGAAGGACATCTTCATCTGCAGGTGGTGATGAGACAGGGACAGCATAAGCTATGATGGTGAACATAAGCTGCTTTCAGAATCATATGGATCCCTCCAGCCCACAGAGCAGGCAAGTGAGGCCTCTGAACCAGATGGAGCCAATGGGGCTGAACAGGACAAGGAGGAGACAGAAAAATCTCCGGGGAGAGGAAAGGAAATTTGGGAATAAGTAGAGATAACAAAAGATATTTTAAAAAGATTTATTTATTTGAAAAGCAGAGTAAAAAGAGGGCACATTCAGGGAGAGAGGGAGATCATCCATTTGTTGGTTCACACCTCAAAATAGCCTAGGCTGGGCCAGGTCAAAGCCAGGAGGCAAGAGCTCCATCTGGGTGGTCTCCCACATGAGTGGTAGGAACCAAAGTACTTGGTTCATTATCCATTGCCTTCCAGAGCATATTAGCATAAAGGTGGATGGGAAGTGTTGATGCCAGAACTGGAATCTGCCCTGCCAAGTGATAGCTTAACCTATAGCCCTACAATCCCCACACCTTAAAAGTATTTTACAGGTACTGAAATTGTGGCATAGTGTCTTAAGCCATTGCCTGTTAAACTGGCACTCCATATGGATGCTGGTTCAAGCCCTGGCTGCTCCACTTCCAATCCAGATTTCTGGTGATGCTCCTGGTAATTGGGGAATTGCACCAAGCGGGAGACCTGGAAGTAGCCCCTTGCTCCTGGCTTCAGCCTGGCCCAGCCCTGGCCATTGTGGCCATTTGGTGAGTGAACCAGTGGATAGAAGAACTCCCTCACTCTCTGTGTGTGTCTCTGTAACTCTTCATGTAAATAAAGTAAATCTTTAAAAATAGAGTGTCCTACAGAAGTTTTGCAGAGACAAGCAGAATAATCTTTCACCTCTCTATGAAAATTCTAGTATAATTTCTGGACTGTGCTTTTGGAATTTTACTTCTCTAGGGAAAAGTGTCTTTGGGGAAGTAGGGACCATTGGATTGGGAATGTAGGGACCATTGGAGTGGGAGATGTTTCAAAATGAGGGTGTGAGAGGCCCTAAGAGGTACATAGACTGTACTGCTTACACATAATGTTCATTTCCTTTCTTTGGCCCTGGGACCACCTCTCTGACCAGGGGCCCTGTGCCCTCCAAGGGCTGCCTTGACAAACTCAGGATACACTCCTTCTTCCCAGACATCTAAGGGAGAACTGAAACCACAGGAGTGTCCCTGAACTGCTCCCTGAAAACCTGACCCAGAACCACCCCTAGGGATCAGTGTCCAGATGACCCATACCTGCTAACTGGAAATAAAGAAGGCCAGTAGGTTCCTTGAGCCTCGGTTTAGCTGATTCGTGATACAGTCAGGCCTTTGGACTTAGATGGCAGGGCCTCATAGGATATCAGATTTTCAGGCCTTGTTCCCACTCCTGTTCCTTAGACCTAGCAGCTATTATGCATGAGATTAAATTAGAGGCAGTGAGAGGATAGATTCAATGTGAAGTCATTAGGAAAGAGGCTATTATTTTGGTTCTTTCTGGAAATCCTTTTCAAGAACTTTGTCCTCTTCTTGTTAGCAAACAAAAAACTCATAATGCTCAATAATGGAGCAATGGATCACAAACAAGGGTGCTAATTTACATGTGAGAATTTAATGGGTAGAAAATGAAATAATTCCCATTTGAATAAAATTTACCTTCATTGCTAGATCCTATGAAACAAGGATTGTGTCAGAAAATTAGGGTTGGATAGTTACTTTCCCTCCATCATAGGGACTTTTAAATCTGGTTGAACAGGAATGCTGATCAGGAGCTTAAAATGAAAATATCCCCTATCTACCTACCTCCAAGTCTCTGGGACCAGGGAACCAAAAATTACATGACCCTGATTATTTGTTCCATGAAAGAATGTATGGAAAAGTGAGTGGGAGGAGACCAGTATCCAGAGGCAGCCACTGGAGAGGTCCACATGGCAAGGATCCAAGGCTCCCCACCAGTAGTCGGCACCTACCTGCCATCCATGAGGGTGTTCCACCTGGAGGTGGCTCCTCCAGCCTCAGTCTGGCATTCAGAAGACATCAGCCACAGCTGACACTGACTGCAGTCTCACCACAGAGACCATCACATCGCAGTCCCCAGCCAAGATGCTCCCATGGAGACTGTGAGGGGATAAAATATGTTATTACTGGTCAAGTTTTAGGGTGTTGTGCTACACAGCACTAGACTGGGATGGCTGTTGAGTAGGCAACTCCTACATCATCTGCCGATGTTCCCCACTTCAACATATTTGCTTTTCTTGTGGGAAGCCCTCCTCTTGTGCATGCCCTGTAGAGAGTGATGCACCTCTAGGGAAAGATGGCCTGAGTGATATGTGTCACTCAAAGATGTTGGTCCCAGAGTCCCCAGAATCTATCCTGCTTACCTCCTTTGTGCCCCCCTCACTCTATGAGAAACCAGCTGAACTGCTGTGATCTGCTCTGTGACAAAGCCTTAGTGGTCCACTGCAGACTGAGGCCTTATGTCAGCAGCTAGCTATGCACTGAAGCTTGTGGTCCCTAACTGTATAAGGAATCTGGCCAATAACCATGTGGCTGAGCCTGACAGTAGAGTGGATTATCCCTCAGTGCAATCTTGAATTGATCATAGCTCCAAAAGGTACCTGGCTTCCAGGCTTAAGAAAAATCCTGTACCAGAGCTCACACTGGATTCCTGCTTGGAACAACAGTATCCTACCTGAAACCCTCACAAACTACATGGAACCCCAACATCATGCCTGAATGAAGCAGGTGGGACCCATAGTCCTCCTCTGTCTAGGTTCTGAGGGTCTGTTTCCCACAAAATGTTTGTTTCATCATATGAAGGAATGATTTAATCCTTGTCTATCATTCAGCCCAATTTTCTGCTGCAGTAAAACATTTCAGCAACTGCCAATTCCCATATAGATAAAATAGAGGAAAAAGAGAGAAGGTCCACAGTCTCATTCAGTGTCTTGGAAATCAAGCATACTGGAACTGTTTCTTAAAGAGAGAATGCTCCATATTCTGCTAAGAGGCTTTTCTTGACTTGTTAACATTTTTGTCACCCCACCAACAGGCCTGATTATAAATGTTTCATTTTCCAGTTTAGTGGTTTTACTTAATCTTTCCTTTGCTTCCTTCCCCACAACTGTGTGTTTGATGGAGAGAGAGAGAGAGAGAGAGAGAGAGAGAGAGAGAGAGAGAGAGAGAGAGAAAGAGACAGAGAGGAATTTGCTCCTGGTTGAAGCTCCAAAATTTTCTCAATAAACCAAAAGGAGACTTCATTCTGTTCCAGCAATGGGCCACCTTCCTGGACCAAATTATTTATGATTTGATTCCCAAATATTTGCATTAGCAATTAATAAAGAGGAACAGCAGTGGCCAAGGGTTTGTCTTTTGGGGGAGACTCCTAACTGTGGGGTTTGCCAACCCTAGTGGGTGCCTGTGCTTTATCAAGACTTCCCCCCTACCTCCATCCCAGTGTCCACCCCTGTCCTGCAGCCCAGCTGACGCTACATAGAACACACATGCATCAGTGTGATGGAGTCCATTACTCAGACAGCAAACCAAAGGGACACAATCCTAATGGCCCTTGGCTAATCTCTTAGGATGTGGTAACTCTTTTAAATAATTCACTTCTGGTTCAATTTAAATTATTTTTAAAGTCAGAATAAGCAGCTTAAACTGGTTAGCCTGGTGTTCCTCTAAGCCTATGCCACCTCTCAGTGTGGGAGTGAATCTGTTTCAACCAACAGTAACCAAAGGAAAGGATAGGAGATGAGTCTCCTGCATTTTCAGTTTCCCTCTCCCGTGAAAATTCAGTCCTGCAGGTGAGCTATGGTGAGCACAGTTGAGGCCCAAGTTTCTTGGCTGTCATGCCTGATATACAGCATCTATTTGATGGGTAGTGACTCAAAAGAAGATATCTCCAGTCTCTTGGCCACACTCAGTAAGAATATAGCCTTTCTCAGTTGGAATTGGACAGGTTGATAAATGAATGTCCTGAGATACAGCAAGACTTGTATGGGAGGTGGGGGAAAAGCAGCCTGAGTGAAGCTTCTGTGAGATGAGCCTGAGCTTGGGAGGAGGTAAAGTTGTAGCCTACATGCCTCAGACTCTTGCTGTCCACCCTTTTGTAGTTTTTGTTGAAAGCATGTTTCTTCATGTGTTTTATGCTTTTAGAACAGTTTGTGGAGACTTTAACTGTCTAATTTTTAAGTTGTTTTTATTGCCAGATTTTCTGTTTCACTGGAGCATGATCCAGGGGCTGCTAGTGATGTCATCCCAGAGGTAGAGACTGCATTTGTTCATTCAGTGGTGCAGCTGTCTGTACATCATGACCTGACCTCCTAGGTGGTAAGTTTCAAGCCATGCAGTACAGTGCCATTGCATGTATTATTTTATGAACCCAGAATAGGAACATTTTGGTTTTCAAATGAGCTAGTTCTATCTAAGCTCTATATCCATCCATCCATCCATCCATCCATCCATCCATCCATCTATGCTATATCTATCCATCCTTCTTCCTATGTACCTACCTATCTATCCTCTATCTTTCATTGTTCAGAAATGCAGGTTTCTTGTTTAGCTTGCTTTTGGTTTTATGGTTTGGAGAAAGACCTGACTTGTGCAATTCCTGCCTTTTGGAATTTAAGAAAAATTACATATTTGTATACAAAGGTGCAGTAAGTGTTTGAAATCTTTCACTAATATCTTGAGAAAAAGGCATTCTCTGTTTTGGGGGCACAGGATCCAGTTGCACCTGTTAATTTCTTCTCTTTCGTTGTTTCTATCCTTTAGGTCTATGAGAGACAATTCCCAACAGGAAGTGCTAGGAACAGGAAGTGCTAGGAGAGAAACCACAGAACTGATTTGGAGGCAACATTATAGAGCAATTGTATCTGGTTTGTGGTGATTTCCCTAGAACTTACCCATGCAGACCAGAATATGCTTCCTAAAGTATTTTTTCTTCAGAGGGACCTTGGCTGTTTTCCAGTTCTTCTTGCTGTTCAAGTAAGGAAAATTATTTGCCCAAGATCACATGGATTGGACTATGATAAAGTACAGAAAAATTAAGGCACCCCATTATTGCAAAATAATCTGGGTTTGACCAAAGTTACTCCATTTTTTGGACCAAGCCCCATGTTGTGGGCTTTGGTTTAGGTTCCAGAAAGTGCTTTTGTCTGGGTCTGTTCCAGGAAATATTTTTCTCACCTCAGACTTGGATCTCTATTAACTGCTGCCTTCCGCTTCTGTAAACATGCTTGCTGCTTTCTTAAGATAATGACTAAAGAAATTGTATAAAACAGTTTAAAATATTCAGACATTGAGCGACTGTTACTTCTCACCCTGTAAAATGCTTACAGCTGGATTGGATAAGAATATGGAGGATAAGATTTGGAGCAACATGATTGGCTAGCAGGACCTGTGCTTAGGCCCTGGAAATAAGCCAAACAGAATATGAGTTGAAAATTTAAAAACCCTTGCCCTCCTCACTGTAGCAGGCAGTCTCCAAGGTTCCAATGGGATCTATCATTGCCAGACATGGCTTTTAATACAGATTCTTCTTTTTTATCTTTGTGTCAGCATGATCTCTTTCACTTTCCATTACAACAGCACCCAATGAATCAAGGAAGAGCATGAAGTCCCGGTTGTGGCCCTGCTTTAGGTGTGTTAGAATTTGTGTTTGTCTCCCATGCTGTCTCTGTGACAGTGCCTTTGAAATGAGGTGGACACACATTCATTTGTAGAGACATTATTGTTTGCAAGGCACCTCCCAGCTCTCACCTAATTTGACCTTCCCAGTTGATTGCCATTAAGGGGATCCTGTGGATGAAGCAGCCAAGGCTCTGAAATGGGTGGTTCTGTCATCCCTGGACTTTTGCCTCCTGAGTCCATGTGTCTCTTCAAAGGGCTTAGGGGTTCAGGCCCTCATTTGCCCAGTGCCAGTGTTCCCATTCTCATTTCCTGAGTTTCTCTTTTGGGGCACACTTGTACCACCCTGCAAGGCTTTTCCTTCCTATATTGGAACAGTGTTCCAGATAGTTGTCTGGGTGTTGTGATTGAAACTGAGAAGCCTAGAAAGTCAAGTCATGATTTTATATGTCACTCTGCTCTGCACCTTCCATGGCATGTTATAAACAACTGGGTGTTCACATGAAGCTGTTCTTTGCTTTTCCTTTGGGAAATCTTGGTCGTCACCACCATCAGTGTCCTTCCTGTGTGTGAGCCTGTAAGCTCCCTTCTCCCTGGAAATGCTACTTGGCCAGACTCTCGGGGTCTCCTCTAGGTGAAGTGATCCCACTGAAATGGTTTCCAGACCTGTCAGAGACTCAGAGAAGCAGGAAGAGAGAGAAAGAGAGAGAGAGAGAGAGAGATCTTCCATCTGTTGGATCACTCTCTCAAATGCCTGACATAGTTGGTTCTGGGCTAGGCTTAAGGGGCCAGGAACACCACACGGGTTTCTCATTTGTTTGGCATGGAACCAATCACTTGAGAAATCACTGTTGCCTTCTAGGATATGCATTAGCAGGAAGCTGGATTCAGAAGCATAGCTGGGACTTGAACTCAAGCACTATGACATGGGTATAGATATCCTCAATGACATTTTAACTGCTATGCCAAATGTCCATTCACTTTTGTTTTCAATGTTTCTTCCAATGATTATTACTTGATGTCTTTTAAATTTTGCACCCTGGGCCTGTGCCTTGATGGAAACCCAATGCTCCCAGACCATGCAGCTCTAGAACCCATTGCAGATGGTGCTTGGTTGCTGGGGTAAGCCACTAGAGTTTAGAGGTTCCAAAAGAATGGTTTAGGGAACCAAGGAGGCTTGTGGTGTATGCTGGGGACAGGCTGGCTACATGACAGGGAAATCGACAATGAGATGTCCCTGTCTGAATGTTAATTTCCCTGTGTCCTGCCACTATCTATTTTGAGAAGTTCTTGGCCATTGATAAAACATAGTTTACAGATTCAAAAGGCTTCAGTAGGCTAGGCATCTCATGTAAAGAGCCTTGGGTGATCACTGATGGCATACATAAGAGTGTTAATTGTTGGGATCAGTGCTGTTGTGTGGTGGGTATAGCCACTGCCTGCAGTAACAGCATCCCATATGGGTGCTGGGTTAGGTCCTGGCTACT